GGAATTTTTAGTATATCTTCCCTTTAATTTTTCCTAGACAATCTGACTTTACTTATGTCTTCACCTTTGCTTTCCCTCCATCCCCTACCGCAACAGTAACTTGCTCCAGGCTCACTTTGCTCTAGTGTCTAGGAGATCTGTCTACCACCAGAACTATGATTCCCAGCATTCCTGGTGCTCCCCGCACTCTGGGCTTCTGCTTCTGGTCCTGGGGCTTTCCAAAACTACTATTCCCAGAATTCCTGGTGCTCTCCACGCTTTGGGTTTTCTCGACCAACGGAGCCACGACCCCGCAAGCCTCCGGCTCTCCTGCTCTGCTCTCCATCCGGTGACCGAGGGAGCCATGTCCCCGCAAGGGAGCGACCGAGGGAGCCACATCCCCCGCAAGCTGCTGGCTCTCCCACTCTGCTCTGTGCATGCAAATTACCTGCCATCTTTGTCAGGTTAATTTGCATACTCACTCCTCATTGGCTGGTGGACGTAGCTTAAGCGCAGCAGAGGGATGGTTAATTTGCATGTTTCTTTTTTATTATATAGGACTAGAGGCCCGGTGCACAAAAATTTGTGCACTCGGGGGGAAGGGTGGGTCCCTCAGCCTGGCCTGTGCCCTCTTACAGTCTGGGACCCCTCAGGAGATAACGCCCTGTTGGCTTAGGCCTGCTCCCGGGTGGCAGAGGGCAGGTCCAATCCCTAAATGCAGCCCCTGGTTGGGCTCAGAGCAGGGCCGATTGGGGAGTTGGGGCGCTGCCCCCGGTCATGCACAGAGAAGGGCGGATCGGGAGGTTGTGATGCCACCCCCAGTCACGCTCAGGGTAGGGCCGATTGGGGGGTTGGGGCACAGCCCCCTGTCACACTCAAGGCAGGGTTGATGGGGAGGTTGCGGCGCTACACCGTCACGCACAGAGCACAGCCAATTCGGGGGTTGGGGTGCTGCCCCTGTCACATGCTCTACCCTGTCACACACAGAGCAGGGCCTGTTCGGGGGGAGGGGGGGAGGTTGGGGCGCCGCACCATGTCACACACAGAGCTGCAGGGTGATCAGAGGTTGGGGCGCTCCCCCGTATCAGGCACAGAGCAGGGCTGATCAGGAGGTTGGGGCGCCTTCCCCTGTCACGAACAGAGCAGGGCCAATAGGGAGGTTGTGGCCCCACCCGCTGTCACACACAGAGCCGCAATATGTAGACTATAATTTAATATTTATTTCAACAAAATTACTAGTGTTTTTCCCAACATATGGACTATTTGCTAAAATTTGTTAAAAATAACAGTGAACGAATAACAAAATAACCTGTTAATTATAAGCAAATCTTAGTCAAAAGTATTTTAAAATTATCAGGGTATTAATTTTCACACATGACATATGGACCAGAAATTTTATCCGTTAAATCTGAAGTTCATTAAATCAAGGTCTGCAAAATTAAGGGTTTACTGTATCTGGGCAGAATACGCAAGAAATGTCCCTCCTGGATAAATGGCTGCTTCCAGGCACTTTTCACTGAGGGAGGCAAGGCCACTCACAGACAGACGTAGCCCTGCTCTGCTGGGCTCCCTGTTTGATGAGGGAGAATGGCATTTCCACAGGAATTTCATAGGAGATATAATCTCAAATTGAGATATACTAGTAATCTCAAGTTGTGGTCACACACAACACACTTTTTGTATAGTAGCACATACTTATTATTTATAGTTACTTCTAAAAAGTATTTGAGGCAAGACACATTATTTTGCTATAAAGTATAGTTGTAACATAAAATATTTCTCAAGTTACAAAAAGGATACTTAAATTTTTCTGTATTTACTTCCTTACTAATAAACCAATCATTTAATACCAAGACATCAATTTATGGAGATTCTAAGTTAAATTTGATATTACCTTTAAAGATTGTCTCTTAGTCACATAATTCTCAGACTGAAGCAATTTCTCATAGTCTTCAAAAATCTAATGAAAAAAAAATTACAGTGTAAAACTAATAGTTATTTCTCTGCGTTAGGTTTGCTTACTTGCTTCAGAAGTAAGTAAATCCCCAATCCCCGAGTCCAGCGCAGCCCAGCTGCTGTGCTTTCGATCTCTGTGTGTTTAACCCTAGAATGACCACCACTGTCCACTGGGAGGTTCCCCTTTCCCCATCCTCTTTTGCACATAAAGACATCAAGAGTGGGAAGGTCAAGTGATACAAGAGACATACTTCTCTATTTTATTTTAGTTCTGCAAATTATAAATAGGGTAGAAAAATGTAGTAATTGAATACTCACAATAAATCATTTTGAATAAAACATCTATTGAGTTGCAAGACAACGCATTTTATGCCATATTAAAGAAATCTGTTTATGTAGACTTGCTGGTAGTCTATGAATAATTTGAGAAAGATTAAATAATTTAGGGTTTCACCTGGCAACTCATTAAAAGTCAAATTGTCAAATTCATAGCATGAACATGTAGAGCAGCAGTTCTCAACCTGTGGGTCGCGACCCCTTTGAGGGTTGAACGACCCTTTCACAGGGATCGCCTAAGACCATCGGAAAACATATATATATAATTACATATTGTTTTTGTGATTAATTGCTATGCTTTAATTATGTTCAATTTGTAACAACGAAATTGGGGGTTACCACATGAGGAACTGTATTAAAGGGTCGCGGCATTAGGAAGGTTGAGAACCACTAATGTAGAGGAACTAGGGCTACTTTTGCTGCAAGACGGCAATGCCAACCCCAACTAGCCTCTCTGGAGCACCTCTACTCTCCCCAGAGGTTGGGGGACACTGGTGTTTGGAGCCCCTGTTTCCTATTGTGGTCGAACATCAATCATTACTTAGGCCCTTCAATCAACTCAGGGAGCCAGCCGCTGGGGAAGCTCAGTGTCAACTTCCCACCATGTGTTGATGCACTCAGGGATTACTAAGGTGGAAGGAGCGAGACCAGCAGAGAATTGAAAGCTACAGTGTTCAGAGGCTGAAGAAGGTACAAAACAGTCCTGGTCCTCAGAGGGCCAAGTGGGAGGAATGTGTGTGCTCGAGTGAGATGAAGGCAAGCTGAGCACACTGACAATAATTACTGAGAGAATTAAGAAAGTGAAAAGGATAAAAGAAGCATGTAGTTTACATTAATGATAAAACTTAATACTGAGTGCTTACCATGGTACTATCTTGAAAACTTCAAATCTTGTCAAATTCCTACCACAGCCCTATGAGGTAGGCATTAAAATGTTTATTTTGAAGTAGTTACAGGAACTTGCCCAGGGTCACGCAATTAGTAAGGGGGAGAGCTGGGTCTTGAAGCCAAACAAGCAGACTCTAAAGTCTATATTGTACTCTGAACCTTTGTGTTCAACAGATAAAGTTCTGCCTCTCAGGGAACTCAAGGACTGGCTAGTTAGATGCAGACACAACACAATAATACATGGTAAACAGTGAGAGAGGGGCAGGGGAGGGAAGTCAGGAGGGTGTGTGTGTGTGCGCGCGCGCGTAAGGGTGTGAGTGTGTAAGGGTGTGTTAGGGAAAGCTTGCTAGAAGTGTCACATTAATTCAAATGACAAAAGGATGAGCTGGATTCACCATTAGAAAAGGGAGTCAGAAAATAGAAATATTTTGGTATTTCTACTAGTAAGTAAAAGTAATTATTGACCAGGTCAAATGACTTATCTTAGTAAGGGTTGGGTGTTCTTCCATATGGAAGTTACCTACTGGCTCTTAAGGGCAACATGGATGCTCTTAAGTCTAGATCAAGGTGAGCAGGTGCTAGTTGTTTCTTGGGGCTCCAGAGCATAACACTAGGAAGAGATATGAAAAATGAGAAAGCCCTGATCTCCTGCCATTGCCAATTTTCCATAAGGTTTCCTGATGACCTGGCTTCTGGGTAAAAGACCAATTGGATGTATGGTTGACATGGTGGATTTCTATAGTGGATCATAAACAGGAATAAGTGCTCATAAATTTGAGAGAGAGGGAGGGAGAAAGGAAAGGAGGGAGGGAGGGAGAAAGGGAGGGAGGGAGGAAGGGAGGAGAGAATAAGGTAAGACTTAAAAATAACTTCTACTTACAGTGTCATAATTTTGTTCTAAGAAGTCTGCTACCAACACTTTATGTCTGGTTAGTAAATCCTAGAGAAAGAAGAAACAAGTGAAACAAAATGGTCATAGCTAAAAAGTTTTTTAAAATTCTGTCTTTTCCTTCTAAGATTTAATAAATCCACTAATTTGAAACATATAAGTTTCAGAAGAAACTTTTTGTTTATATCACAAAATTATTTCCATTCTTAGTTTAAGATGTGAAACACAAGCTTGTTTCATGTTAAAAACAAGTGTGTTTTAAATTTATATTATTGTTAAATTATAGAAATAATTTAGTTACTAAAACAAATGGTATTTTAGAGATGAGTTTACAGTATAATTTCTTCAAGCCACAACTCTACATTGTGCATATGATATAATATTCAAAAAAGTTTATGATCTTTTAAAAGTATCATTAATAACTAATCATTTTTTAATGGACTAAAACCATATCTCATAAGTTAACAGATTTTAAAGGATTTTAAGCTTTAGTTTTTTTCTTAACCACTTTTAAAATAGAGTTGCCTAGGATGCTGGGAAGCACAAGAATGACATTTAGCAGGCCATCTCATATCTCCCTGCTCTGAGGTTAATGGGCTGTGAGTTACACAGTAGCACAATGCACCCTTTCAAAGTTGAAGACAAGCAGCCTGATCTTATTACAGACATAACTCTCAGAAAACTGGACAAAAGCATAAAGGAACGTTTGACTGTTTTCAAATCACACCTAAATCATATCCTTAATTCACCTTAATGTGGAAAGAAAACAAGCTTCACCTAATCCCTTTTATAAGCTTAGAGGCTAAATACCCTATTCAGGTTTCATTCAAAATTTAATTAAGAACCTAACAAGAATTTCACAATTTTCCAAAATAAATTCTTATACTTTAGTACATATTTAATTAAAACTTCCTAAAAGCATACAGAAGATACACACAATAATCTCACAAAGAAGGCAGCAGCAATGGTAAAACCCATATATTTCTATTTTAATAAAAATTAAAATATTTAAAGCATTTTGTATTATAATTTTCAAGTTCAAAAACAATGAGACTAACTTAATTTCATTTCATGATTGACCATTGGGCCTATCAGTGGAAATGTGGTACTTTTTCCCTGTAGAACACTGAAGCCAAACAAGTGTGCTGTTCTGGAACTGTAATTTTTAAAACGGGGGCCATCTCATATTGTCCTGCTCTGGGGTTAATGGGCTGTGTGAGTTACACATTAGCACAATGCACCCTTTCAAAGTTGAAAACTTCCCTGGCTGGGTGGCTCAGTTGGTTGGAGCATGGGTTCAATTCCAGATCAGGGCACACACCTAAGTTTCAGGTTCAATTCCCCAGTTAGGTACAGTGTGTACAGGAGGCAACTGATCGATGTTTCTTTCTCACATCCATGTTTCTCTATCTCTCCTTTTTTCTGTTTCTCTAAAAATCAATAACAAACATATCCTTGGGCGAGGATAAAAAATGGGGGGGATCTTTTACAGAGATTCAGTCATGGCCTGTCTGAAGTAAAAATTCAAACTATTCCTCTATCACGGACCCTTGAGAGAGTAAGGTAGACCTACAGCCTCCTTTGGGGTCCCTAATCTTTTCCTAGATGGATATTTGAATACCTAGTTTGCAGACAACCCCTTTCCTAAAGCTCCTCAGCAGTATCAGTGATTTTTCTGAGCTGACCCAGGACTGATGCACCATGGGAGTTCTCCACCCGCCACAAGTTGTCAGCCTTGAGAGTTTGGCCCATGTTCTCCCTCTGCTCCAGAGCCTGCACATGCAGCAACAGTAGCAACACAAAAAGCACTCTGCCACTGAATGCTGCCTGGAAAGATTTTCTGTTCACTACACATCAGTAATACACCAAAGAATCAGGAGGGAGTTCTGTTAGTAACATCTCCTTCAAAATTCTAAGGGGAGAAAATTTGAAATAACTTAAAAATTCAATAATAGAAGAATATGGTAGGATAAAATTTCTCCATGTATATAATGGATACGACCATTAAATGATTTGTATTCTTTCTCACACTTACTCTTACACTTGAGTATGCATATATTATATATTCATAGCTATACCCTAACATCCTATATAATAAAGACCTAATATGCTAATTAGACCAAACAGCAGAACAACCATCCGGACGACCTTCCAGATAAAGTTGGGGCTACAAGGGCTGAGCCCCTTGCATGAATTTCATGCATCAGGCCTCTAGTTTATGTATATAATAAATGAATGCACAAAACTGGAGGGATTATACTATGTATATACAGTAAGTCCTCACTTAACATTGTCAATAAGTTTTGTAACTTTAAGTGAAACAAAACCAACTTTGCCCTGTCTGGTGTGACTCAGTGAAGAGAGCATCAGCCAGTGCACTGAAGGGTCTCAGGTTCAATTCCCAATCAAGGGCACATACCTGGGTTGCAGGTTTGATTCTCCAGCCCTAATTGGGAGACAGCCAATGTGTCCCTCTCTAAAAAAATCAATGAAAAATATATCCTCTGGTGAAGATTAACCAAGCCCCCCCCCACCAAAAAAACCCCATACACAAAAAAACAAACCAACCAATTCTACCATAGGCTAACTGACATAAGTAAGAGTTAAGTTCCTATAGCATCTCAACAATGTTATAATGAAACTAGTGACCCAGTGCACATTGAAAGGAAATTAATTAGAAGGTAGCTGGCAGGGCGGGACTGGGCAAGATGGGCTGGACACACCCTGGAGCCAACCTCCCGTGGTCCCTCCCTGGCATCTGTGGAGCGGGGTCACTCTGGCAGGTGGGGTCTCTCAGCCTGGCCTGTGGGGATCGGGCTGAAACCTGCTCTCCAACATCCCCCGAGGGGTCCCGAAGTGCAAGAGGGCATTCTGCAAAGTTGCTGTCATACAGGATGTGGATGGCAAACACAAGTGTGCGGTAAACCAGATTCGAGGCCAACAGTGCCCCAGCAACAACATAAACCACGGCCGAAGTTGGAATTACACAGACCCACGAGGAATCGGGCTTCCTCCTCTCTGGTTTTGGGGTGTGTCACCTGAGAACCGCTGCTGCAAAGTCACTGCAGCTCAGCAGCTCCTGGGTTGAGCATCTGTCCTCTGGTGGTCAGTGCGCATCATAGTGACCAGTCAGATGGGCATAGGGACACCTAGCATATTAGCCTTTTATATATAAAGAGCTGAACATAAACACATGCATATATACACATAACACATAGACAAATATAATTGCAGCATTATTATAGAGCATATAATGGAGTGGGGGAAAAAGAAACTAGCTAGGATTTTACCCAAAAAGGAAAAAGCAGAAAATTGCAAATAAAAATAAAGTTCAAATTTTAAAGAATTTAAAATTTAAAAATTTGAAACAGTATATACTGTTTCATCCCACCTCCTAACAATTCTGTTTAACAGATCTAAGATTTGCACAGTATAAGTATTATGCTTTAAAAACAAATGGGATGTTGATATTTTAGTGGTAAGTGGAATTAAGAGACACACAATGGCGTGAACATGATACTAGATCCACCAGCAGCAGCTGCATTTGTTAAGGGTTTACCCACATGCTGGGGAAGGAAGGGTGCCCAGTACTTTACACACATTATTTCTAACCTTCATAACTCCACAAAGCAGGAAGTATTTTCTTCATTGCACAGATAAGAAAAATGAACTTGCTCAAGGACATACAGCTTGTCAGGTGGCAGAGAGATGGAATTCAAACTACTTCACTCATCCTGATTCTTGGAGGGGGGATGGAAAAAACATGGTTGTAAGAAATCGTTTTTGGGGAAGGTCAATTTATAGACAATACCATGACAAAAACATAAACTAACAACATTAAAACATGAATGACTAAATTGGGCAACAGTCATCTTGGAGCTCAAAACAAAAGAGGTTTGTCTAAGAGATTAAAAACAAAAGCCCAGGCCAGCCAGCATGGCTCAGTGGTTGAGCATTGACCTATGAACCAGGAAGTCATAGTTTGATTCCAGGTCAGGGCATATATCTGGGTTGCGGGCTCCATCCCCAGTGTAGGCATACAGGCCACAGGCAGTCAATGATTTTCTCTCATCATTGATGTTTCTATCTCTCCCTCTCTCTTCCTCTCTGAAATCAGTAAATGCTTCTGCACAGATATTTTGCTGGAAAAAAATTAAATCATATTCTGTGTTAAATGTCATTCTTCGTATCTGATGCCCCACGGCCGCTCTCACCATGTGCTCTAGATATACTCTTTGGAGGTGGGGTTCATCTGTAGCCACTGTACCATTTCGTTTTGCCAGGTGAGACTGAGGCCTGTGAAATGAAAAGACTCCTAGGGTTTCACAGCACTCTGAACACATGTCCATGTTTCCTGCCCCCCTCCCCTTCCCTCTACCCACCAGTCAACTCTCTCTCTCCCCAACCCTTCCTTCCTTCCACTCACTCTGCTGTTCTTTCTAGATTTCCTCTTCCTTTCTTTTTTTTTTTTTATAGTTTAATGTATTTTAATAGCAAACTTACAGGAACAGCACAGAAGACAGACAACATTAAAAACATGTACTTGCATGTAGGACAACTAAGTTAGAAAAGTATAGTGAATGGATGGAATCTACTGTATGATAAAAATGCTACAAACACCATTTAGTTGCCATCAATAAGAAATTTACTTGTTTTAAAAAAATCCAAATGCTGGCATTGTCCAGAAAATTTTAACAGGTTTATTTATATTTTTGTAAAGTTGAACTGCTCAAACTTATTCACTGAAACATTTGACTTGCATTAATGCTTCATGTCCCCACATTTATATTTAAAAAAAATTCACACACAAATGAAAATGGAAAAACTGACAATAAATGAT